ACTATTCTCCATGCATCCGTGTCCTTCTTATTATTATTCACGGGTTCATAAACTTTCCACTTGTTTGCATAAAATTTTCATTTTTCAAACTCAACTTTAATATTAAAAAATGCTTTCATATTTTTGTTTTTGTTTTGAAGTATAATGAAAACAAAATGTCATTATAATTAATTGGAGTATTTTGGCTATTGTCATTTCCTTTATTTCTATTAAATGAGGTAGAAAAAAATTAGCTGTGAAGTTGATATACTTTTTCAAGGTATTATTTTCATCGTTAAAAGGATTGAAATTGATAACTAAAAGAATATACTGTGAAAGAGATTTTTTTTTAAAAGCATAGATCTTCTTTTTATATCTTACGTATATATTTGAGACGCTAGTAAGCACACTACAAAGTTACATTACTCCTGTAGATTCGTGACGGTGATAATTACTAGTATAATTACACTCTAATTTTTTGTATGTGGTTAAAAAAAAATGAATCGTTGTCAAGAATATACTGTTAAGATTAGGATTTGTAACGAATTAATTGTGATGAAAGAGGGGATTTTTAAAAATAATTATAAACAACATAAAATAGCTAGGTGGTTAATTAACAATTGAATTAATTATATTAATTTATTGGATTTTAATCATTACTGAAAAAATGATTGCTTAAAGTGCTTATTATATTAAAAAAGTCAATGACTGTCATTAATTGGAATGCTATTATAAAATAGGCGGATAAAATCACTACTTGACACTAGCTAGACAAACAACTTCCGTTGGTTCTATAGAGGACGTTTATATAAAGGATTATAAAAGAAAACAGTTGGCTCTAGAAATATGCTACAAGAAAAAAAGTAAAACAAAGTAAGCTGGTTGAACGAACGGTCGTAAAATTAATATTGGATAATTTTGTTACGTACTTTGTGGAAGTTCTGAGGGATTTTATGATCACAAAAAGTATTGGCAGTATTGGTAACACCACATTTAAAAATGTCTTTAAAATGAATTCAATTAAAATTTGTTCTCCCCGAATAGAACTTGCTCAATAAATCTTCTCTATTATTTTTTATTTCGTTAGAGTAGTTGAGCCAATTTGACAGAAATTTCTCTTTTCATCAACGAAAATGAAACAAACAATCAATTTTCCAATTGGTGGAAATAAAATGTTTGAGTATGTTTTAATTAAGCTACAATTGGAAACATTTCAAGTGCAAAACATTCTATCAAAGCTGAAAAATATTTATTTCCTAACTCTCATTATATTGCTAACTTTTTATTTTCAATCAATAATTTCATAGTTTTCAATATCTAAATGTCTACAATCACTGTACGAGAAGACATTACATGTACGGATAAACGTTTTCATTGTATCCTAGATTGAAAGTGTTATAGAGAACGAATAGAATGGAACAGTGCAACCGAAAATAGTAATTTAATTAAACTGCCACGCTTGATGAAATACAACTATGAGTCATTGGTTTTTGATTAAAAATTCTATCATCTCCATCTATTCTGATGCAAGAATTAACCTTTCCTTTATTTCGAAATATCCTTGGAATGCTCACTGCACATCTTCTCTGACTCACATAGGTTGGGAAAAATTTCATCTTTAAGGCAACATGATGATAGTCATTTAGCTTAAACAATCATCTAGATGTCAAAGGTCGTGAGTCTAGGAAAATGGACATATTCCCTTGGCGGTTTTTTTTTCTCTGTTTTAAATACCGTTTATAATGGTATAGGAAGCTTTGTTGCCGAGGAATAACGGTAACAATGGCATGCCATGCACGATCGAGTCCGAGTACAGGTGAAAGATACCTGACACAAAGTAATGAATTATACCTCCGACAAATTGAAGGTATGTTAGAAATTCCTCCAGCTGACCTTCATTTCATCTACTTTGTTGATGACATTTATGAGCTACTTTTCAAAAACAACTGTATTCATTGCTACTGTAAAGCAAATATGATATTCAAATTGAATAAATAAGCAAGCAAAATGATATAATCTTATTAAACAAATAATGAAGAATAATTATAAATGGCATAAAAAAATGATTCATTTCATTGTAAACTTTGAAAAGCTGACATTCAATATTTGAAAGGCAATGAAAATACATGATGGAAATTTTTTATCATCAGCAGACCTTATTTACTTTACTTACCTTTAATAAATAACAAACCATTGAATGTGCAAGACATAAAAAAAAGTTGATTTATTTTTGAACTCCTGCAAAGTGTAAAGTTGACACATTAAACACCTGGAGCTAACTAAAGTATACTATGAGATTACTTTATTATTAATGAGTCTTATTTATGAAGTAATTATTTAACATGATTAAATGCAGTTAAGTATATTAACTCCAAACCATTGGTGGTATGGATCAATCATTTAATTTTTACCAAAAAAATCTTTCGAAATAATTCATCTTTGTTAAAAAAAAAAAGCTGATGATAAAATGATAAATTTTTTGAACAATGCATTTATCAGTTGTGAGAAAAGTATTAATAGCTGTTGGAGTTGAAAGTAAAATGAGTCAACCAGTAAATGATTTTACTTATACGCAGTACCACGAGATAAATATCCAGAGAAGAATCTTTTATGTGCACATATTTCATTTTTAAAAATCAATGAAACAATGATTCAGTGGTTTGTGTGTTACGTTATCAAAACTATTGAACAGGAACATCAACTTGATTTGATTAAACAGCTTTTCACCACCTAGATATAGTAGCTGAAAATTATCGATTATTTTCTCGCAATTTTAAAATGTAGACAACACTCATGCCATATGCCAGTTGCAGAAAATTTATTCATCCAACAATGGCAATTACTTTTATTCAAATTCATGTTTACTTTAAACATATGTTCCATTCACCCTGGATCATTCTAAATCTCCTGGGATATTTATTCAGAAATATTTTTATGATTTGAATCTACACAAAAAAAAACTATTCTGTTACAGTACCAGCTTGTTTATTCTATTATGATCACTATCCTCACACTTTATATATATTAATTTAATAATATCACACGACCTTTAAAATGATAAAATCAGTTTTTAAAAAGAATTATAAAAAAAAGTATCAACGAATCACAATTAAAACAAAAAGCTAGTTTCAGCGGCTGAGCTCATCTCAGGTGGAAGATATAATATGTGATAGGATGAGTCTGTAGTTGAATGAAACGCATCACACACTAGGTGACGACCACTCATATATTTTACCGGTTTACGATTGCATCAAAGAGTAGGATGGGGAATAAACATCACAGTGCGATATCATTGAAACTCTAGACCTGCATCATTCCGTTCAATAACGGATATCTCAACATCCGCTTATTTTTGCGTTTCTATTTTTTTATATAATTCTGACGACCTTTCCTAACTGTTCTATCATTACAGGTCACTTTCAATCTATAAATGCTTCTTTTTCCTCCGGATATGTTAAGTTTTCAAATCAATGCGAAAAATGTAAATCATATCTGACGAGAGTTTCCGGTTGCCCTGATGTAATGTTAGAATTTTTCATGCCTCCACGATTCGATGAATTTAACGGAGTATAAGCACACATTATGAGCCTACTTGCATTGAATAGTGCGTTAAATGTAGCGTTTGCTTAGAGATAACTTAAAATAACTTCATCCTCTTTTCGTTATTGCTTCTAGATTAGTATTCAATACAAAGTTTTCTGTTGTCGTTTGAATAAATATTTCTAGGACTTTCACTCTATGAATATAAACCAATTTTCAGCAAGAAATATTTACACCTTCAAAGATTTGAGTAATTGAAAACGCAGTTCCATTAATAGTTAAATGATTACTTTTTTATAAATAAATTATGAAACTCAACTACTTGCTATTAATTCAACTGAAGTAGGTAGGAAATCTATTTTAGTTTAAATATTTTGCTAGACGTTAACAAGTGATTTTTTTAATTACCAACGATTGGGCAAAAAAGTTCATTCAAAATCTAAGCATAAACTCATTAAACGAATATATTTTAAAATGAAGAAATATTGCTAAATTCCTGGAAGTGTGTTAGCAAAAAGTTGCTTCAAAGAAAACAAATAAAATTGTTTGAGTGAGACTAATTAAGGATTTTTTTAATTGTCAATAATTATATTTATTATAAATATACTATAAAAAGTTGTTCTTAATAAAGATGGGTTTAATTCTTTCAACGTAGTGTTAATTATAACACGTGCTCCACGTGAGTTCTATGTTATACACCGTCTTTCTATTAATTAACTCGTTGTAGCCAATTAACTAAACGATGATTTAATTGAAATTAAATATTTTACTTCATATCAAGGATCTTTTAGTCTTCATTATGCATGGAATATTAATGTTATTTCTTTTGTCTTTTTTTTGAGGTTGAGAAAGTTTGAAGACAGATTTTCTAATTTAAATAAAATATTCAATTTTCTAAATCTATATTGGAATTACGTGATAAGAGAATATTCTTTAGTCACTACAGCTATGATATTAAAGATCTTTTATATGTAATTATTGAATTTATTCTCTTCATTTTCATTGCTAAACGGCGGTTTTTACATAATACTTAGCCGTTTGAGGTAATCCAGCGGATAATAAGATGAAATTGCAGTATTAAATGAAAAAATCAAATTAACCATTAAATAATAGCTTCTATTTGTGTAACAAAATGTGTGAAGCAAGGTATCTATTGCAATATTTAATCAATCAATGTCTCCATATGACAGATTTTATTATTTTCAAAGTAAATAATCCAATTTCTTTTTCTGATAAAAAAACAAAAAATAAATATGTAACATTTAATAGGTTATTGTAGAAGCAATTTTAAAAATATAGTTATTGTCTGTTACAGCGTTTAGATGAACTCGATGCGTTATGAGAGACCAGGAATACCAGCCCTAGAGTTGTCTGTCCTGGTACAAGAAAAGTCAGCAGAGCTACTTGACCATTCGATTACAAAAACTAGGTGATAAAACCAGCATTTCAAAGAACCTCCAGCTCAACACTAAACCGCAAAAATGTTTCGTTCCAAGATTCGTATCCACACTTGCCAAGTGATACTGCTGACTTCTCTAGTATGGTTTCTAGTTGATGTTATGGTACTTATGTACTACTCAGACTGCATTGGTCGAAGTGGTTGGGGATGCTACGAAGTTAAAGAAACATCTACTGATGAAACTCTAGCACATCCTGAAGCATTAAAAGGTGAAGTCCAGCTGACAACCGAAAGAAATTGGGGTTATAAACAATCGGAATTGCACTTATGGAGACCAGCTAAAGTAGTTCGAGAAAACCGAGGAAGCCCCGGAGAAATGGGATCAGCAGTTCGGATTTCACCAGAAAATGAAGCGAAACAACAAGAACTATTCAAATTGAACCAATTTAATCTCATGGCCAGTGACATGATTTCGTTGAACCGTTCTTTGAAGGATGTTAGATTAGAAGGATGCAAGAATAAAAAATATCCTAAATTTCTACCAACCACCAGCATTGTGATCGTATTTCATAATGAAGCTTGGAGCACATTATTGCGGACAGTCTGGTCTGTTATCAACAGATCCCCAAGGTCTTTGCTTAAAGAGATTATTCTCGTTGATGATGCTAGTGAACGAGGTAAATATTCAAACTTTTTAAATATTTTTCTGTTCATTGATCCGGTCAAATGTTTAATTAATTTAATTTAAGAATTAATTATAGTCAAGTCATTGATGATTATCATTTGAATTATTCTTCGAGACAATTGGCCATAATTAGAGTTGAAATCAATTAAGATCTAAATTAAATTCATTAGATTGATAATATGTAACTGCTAGTGTAAAAGAATGTTTTAATCGATTTTTTATTAAATTCAAAGTTATATATTGAGATTGATCATACAAAGGAAAAGTTGATATAGAAAAGTTTTAGCTATAAATGTTTGAATCAAAGTAATAATTATGTTATACTGTTATCATTAATATAATATTGTGATATTTTATCTCTACAAATTATTATACATTTGTATTTCAGATCATCTAAAACAAGATTTAGAAGATTACGTACGAATGTTACCTGTTCCAACGTATGTATTACGAACAGAGAAAAGATCAGGACTGATCAGGGCTAGACTTTTGGGAGCAAAACATGTAAAGGGACAAGTTATTACATTTCTCGATGCTCATTGTGAATGCACAGAAGGTTGGCTTGAGCCACTCTTATCGAGGATCGTAGAAAATAGGACAACTGTTGTTTGCCCGATTATAGACGTTATCAGTGATGATACATTTGAATATATAACTGCGAGTGACATGACATGGGGAGGGTTCAACTGGAAACTCAATTTTAGATGGTAACTAAACACTTTAAACTTTCTCTTTTATTTATTTGTCGAATCGGTTAACGAGTGATGAACTTTTCTCATCTATGGAGAATTAGTTATCGGTGGTTGACCACGATAATTATGTTATTAGGTACAGAGTAGCACAAAGAGAAATGGACAGGCGCAACGGTGATAGAACTGCTCCATTAAGAACACCGACGATGGCTGGTGGTCTTTTTTCTATTGATAAAGAGTATTTTTATGAAATTGGAGCATACGATGAAGGAATGGATATTTGGGGCGGTGAAAATCTTGAAATGAGTTTTAGGGTAGGTCATTGTTGGTTTTATTCAATTATATTTCTTGTAATTAATTACTACAATTATTCTCTAATTACTTTTTTTTGATTTAATTATTCTAATATTAATATAAACTTTCTTTTACTTTTACATCGTTATGAATATATTTTTCTACTGTAAATGAAAGTGTCAGAAGACATCTATAATGATAGTGTTGATAAATCGAAAAAAAAAGTTGTATATATTATACTATATAACGATTAAAATGGTTCGTGACATTTTTGCTAAAAGCAAGTGATGCATTTTTGATATTCGGCCTTAAACAAGTATCTGATGATACAAAATTTAGATATGGAGATAAAATTCAATTTTAGGAAACTCAGTATTATTACTTGATTACACCTCCGTGAGGTTTCATTAGAATTTAATAACATCTACCTTCTACTTTAATCCAGTATGTTTTAGAGCATACCCCTTATATTAGAATATCTAAACTTTGTCAAGAAATTATTAATCGGTGAATTTTAAAATAATTAACAAAATTACATTGTTGCATTATTGTCGTATAGCCTGAAGAATTATTTGTTAAACACTATAAAAGATAAAGGATTATTGATTGAAAAATACGAAACCTAGTATAAATTATGGAAAGTTTACAATAGCCCCCAGTGATCAATAAATGCTCAACAATGCGGAATACTCATGGCGGTAATTTAGAAAAGGTTAATTATTAGAATCGTAAAAGTTTATTTTCGCTAGGAAATTTACATTAATTTTCAGATCATTCTAAAAGCTGATGCTTAAGATGCAAAATAAAGGACTAAGTTGTGGATACTTAGATTTTGTTTGCCATGAACTTTTGGAAAATGATAAGTTGATTTTAGGTATGGCAGTGCGGTGGTACTTTAGAAATCAGCCCGTGTTCACACGTGGGTCATGTTTTTCGTGACAAGAGTCCTTACACGTTCCCTGGTGGTCTCAGCAAGATTATACTCAGCAACACAGCTAGAGTAGCAGAGGTCTGGTTGGATGAGTGGAGAGAATTTTACTATGCCATGAATCCAGGTTAGATCATCATCATTGAACAGTTGGAATATAAACAGTTGGTGTCTTATGTTCATCGCGTTATTTATGCATTAACTTGAGATTTGAAAAAGTATTTACAGTTTCAAATTTTTAATATTTTCTAATCATTTTGCTGCTTCTGACAGGCAATTAATAAAGTTATGCATCGTATTGTGCACGAATTGAAAGTGAGTGACATGATGATCGTTATTTATAACAAAATCAATCATCCAATAATTATTGCTAACGGGTATCTGATATTCAACCAATCAACTGATTCACCCAAAAAAGAATTCATTGAATTTTTTAGTGAATTAATAAAATATTCTTTACTGATATGCTCCCAATATATCAAATTTTTTACAGGAAACATTTTGCTTTCTTCTCTTCTGCTCTTGTTAAAATTTTTAATCCCTAGGATTACTTTTAAAATATCCAGTATGATTAATTAAGATTCCAGGCTTATTTTTGGCTCGCTAAACACTTGTATTGTCTTAACCACTCATCCATCCAACCGACTAACATAACTTATCGCCTTACCAATATCGAAATCCATGCAAAAATAGTTATAGGTGTCATCAAGAATGCTCAAGAAGATGTATCAGCATTTTTATTCCTATTTTTTATTAATTTAATTGATTAATTAATTAACTCATTAGGGTCTTGTTATCAATTTCATTTTTTTTGTAATTTCTATGTTAATTGTAATTGCTAACACACTAACTACATTGAGTTGGTTAGATTTGGATGTGTGGTGGGACATTGGAAATTGCAACGTGCTCGCATGTCGGGCACGTGTTCCGTAAATCAACACCGTATACGTTTCCCGGTGGTACGAGCAAGATTGTGAACCACAACAATGCGCGGCTTGCTGAAGTCTGGTTGGACCAGTGGAAATACTTCTATTACAACATTAATCCAGGTAGAAACTAATAACAGAAACAGAAAAAGAGCATACACAAATAAAGTGAACGACACTACACTATGGAGCAGCATGAGTTTTTATATTTTTTTTTTAATTCTAAATATTATGTTTATTTATAAACATTTTTTTGTTATCTAGCATCTTTAATCCTGAGCATGTTCCCACGAGCTTTCTACTATTTAGGGACATCAACTATGTGGACTCTTATATTTTACATTATCAGATACCCGTTGAATTTTTCACTGCAATCTTTTGTAAATGTTTACCCAGTTAAACAAATGCTCTTTTAATGTTGCGAGTTTTTTTCTCAGTTGTATTCATGCACTTTATCTTATGGTTTATTGCAAACACGAGCACCAATTTATTTATATTTTTATTTACGTTTATAAAGAAAACAGAAAATCTTTTTCTGAGACTTTTAATTTAGTTTTTAGTTAATTAATCAATGCATTAATTAATTAGAAACTTTTGTAATTTTTAATGGATAAGACTTTCCGTATATTTTTTAAAAATATACTTCGATGAAATCCTTAATATGATTATTATTCTCTAAAATTAATTTAAAAATGAACATATAAATATTTGTTATCATGATAAAAAGTTATTTTGTTGCACGAATTAATTTTTTCAAATAATATAATCATGCATGGTTTTGATAATTGCAATAAATATTGAAGCAACCATTTAATTAGCACTGTTTCTGAATCTACTTTATAAAACTGTGAAAAGTATATGGAAAGTTTTGATAAAAACTTTAATTATTTATTTTTACACAAGAGTTCTGTAAATAGCACTTGATGCATTTGAGGTGGAATTGTTAATATTTTAATTACGAAAAAATTAAAGAGAGAAAAATACATTTTGAAATTAAATGAATAAAATAATTTTCTAGGTGCTCGAAGTGTTCCAGTGGGAGATGTATCGCAGCGAGTACAATTACGCGAAAAGTTGAAATGTAAAAGTTTTAGGTGGTACTTGGAGAACATTTATCCTGAATCTCCAATGCCACTGGATTATTATTATTTGGGAGATGTAAAAAATTTAGAAATGCGCAATTGTTTAGACACTATGGGCAGAAGATCTGGAGAAAATGTTGGCTTGAGTTATTGCCACGGTCTTGGTGGCAATCAGGTTAGTGTTTACGTCTAGATATTAACTAACCATAGTCAAACAATGCAAAGTTATACGAGTAAACTCCCTGTTTGCAGGTGTTTGCTTACACTAAAAGACAGCAAATAATGTCTGATGACATGTGCCTCGATGCAGCAAGTCCCCAGGGTCCAGTTAAAATAGTCCGTTGTCATGGAATGGGAGGCAATCAAGCTTGGTCATACAACGAAGAGGTATAAAAATATTTACTTATTTTCTACTTTGTTATTGTTTAAATTCTTATTTATATCACTAAGTTGAATATTCGAATGTTTCCGCAATATAAATATTTCAAACGTAGTCTTGTAGTGATAAAAAAAGCAATCAATTGTCTATTGTTTGATAAATTGTTTAACGCATGAATAACATTCAAAAATATAATCTATCTCTGTAAATTTTTTATTTCAATTTCTTTGACAAAAATTTATTGCATTCAACTAGAAGATAAAATACCATGCAGATTTTTTTTTATTTTCGTTATGAATCTTTTTTTCTTATATTGGATGATTATAAAAATTCTTGAAATAATTTGTTGTTTTCAGACAAAGATGATTAGACATTCAAATACTGGATATTGTCTAGCAGTTCCTCAACAAGGTGATGTATCAATGCCAGTGTTAGCTCCATGTGATGTGCATAATCTTGGACAAAAATGGATAATGGCTAGTAAATTTAAATGGCAAGCAAGCTAATATCGGCTAGCTAACGTGGGAAATAATTTCACGCAATACTTGTTAATGTATTTATTGAATTCTAATTCTAATTTGCTGATTGGCTCTCAGAGAGCTTTGAATGCAAGATGAACGTCAGAGTGAGTGTATTAAAATGTATTCTTTGAAATAATTATTATTGATAAAAATTTCAAAGAATACATTTATAATAAATCATTGAAATACTTTATTGGTTTATAATAAAAAATTAAATAGAAAAAAAAAAGATTCATGAATAGCAGTACATACAGAGTTTACTGCCCTGTTCGTATGGTATGCCTTGATGCTGCATCTAAATAAGTAACGCTGTGGTAGCTGCTAAATAAAGTTATAAATGCGAGATCCTACTGTATAATGAGTGAATGAAGGAATAGTAGAAGTTAAAGCATATCAGACAACTGTTAATAATGAATATTAATAATAATTGTTATAATGGAGAAATTAGAAAATTAATCTTAATAAGTTGCAGGGAATGAGTGCAATGAAAATAAAAATAATCACAAGCGTTAATTAAAACAACATTAAATGGACGCAATAAGCTCGTAAGTGTCTCAGCTATGATCGATTGAATGTAAAACAAGCAATCAAATATTTTTTTATTTGAAAAAATTGCTTATTAGTTCATCATCATATAAAAAATACTTCAGATACATTTTATACTTACTAATGAATGTAAAGACAATTTTTGCATGATTGTATTTATCTAATACGTACACTTGTTGTATAAAACGACCGGTGTCTTTCAAAGACTGTCCTTTCTATTTTTTAAGATCAAACTTGATATGAGGAGTCTTCACAATTTTCATTATAATAATATAATTGTATAGTTTTGTACAATATCTAAGATGTTCGATTAAACTCCTTCCCATTAACTTAATTTTTGATACATCACTAAAAATTGAAAATTCTATCGTTATAGTTGTGACATTTACAAAAATTTTGTAGAGATGTTAATAAGACAAGCAAAGGGATGAATTATGTGACAAAAATTGTAAAAATTATAATTGTTAAATATTTTTTGTCACCTTCAATGTAACAAATATCTCAGCTTAAAAAGTGAAATCTACAAATAAGGAAGAGTTCTATATAACTTGATAAATATCATTTAAAAAAATTATTAACACTTAAGGTGATGGTTGAATAGTTCATTCACTACAGCTTGAATATATATTTAATTAATTGTTTTCCCAGACTACGATGTTTATTTTTGTACAGTTTTAAATTGGTAATATAATTATGGAATTAAAATGTCCGATTTTATAAGCGATTTTTAACTTAAAATGATTGTAAATGAATAGTACTTGGATATAAGTTAGCAAAAAAAAACATTTAGTTATGTATTTTTTTTATCTTATGACGAGTAATATTTACGAATTATTTTATATTTTTAAAAGGCAAGCAGTAATGTAAAAATGTTCCGCCCACTTGTACAAGGAATTTAATTCCTTTATCTCAGTTCTTCCAATAGTTTATAATATTTCATGCGTTAGCTTTAACAATCCAAAATTTTAAGTTTCTATTGTTTCCCACTCATAAAATTTATGGAGATTTCAAGTATCATTTATTTACATAGGATAATGCATTCAACAGTATTATCCTAATTATTTTAATACTATCTACTGTTATTAATTTTAGTAATATAACTATTATTATCATGAGTTAATTAAGCAATGTATTGGACAATTGATGTTATTATTATTGTAGATATATTAAGTTGCAAAGCAAAGTGAATCTTCCTTCATTCCATTGCACGTAATTAATATTTGAATAATCAGTAAATATCTCCATCGCTTGTACATCACGATTCATACTATCATAAGTACACGGATCTTTGTTACAGATCAAATATCTGTTATTTCATTTATGTTAATTGATAAAGATTAAATGAACACGAATATTTAATGAATTTAATAAATATTTAATGAATGATAAGTGAACTTTCTTGGTAACTTGTTTATAATCATAACAAGATAATTACTTTTATCGATTATTAAATAATAACACATTGTATAATTTTTTAAAGACATTTTATTTATTGAAATTATTGTTCTTTAACTTCACGTAATCGACGTACTGCAGATCTTACTGAAGCAGCTGCTGTCGTTGAGTATACCCAAGCTCCACCAGCAACAGTCCTTTTGCATCGTTTGCAAGACCAAATTCCAACTACACTGCGTTTCATAGCATCCTAAATAACGATAATACATGAATTGAGAATTATTTTCTTTGATATGAACATTTAATTTGAAAATTTAGTCGTAGTGTTGACTATAAAATATGAAAAATAATAAAGTTTGAGAAATTACTTTGCCACAGAATGTGCATGTGTATTTACTGTGTTGGGTAATTTCCATTTTTTTAACCATCTTCCTGAGTGATGCACCATAACGTGTGCCATATTTTCCGGTAATTCCAACCTTCTTTGTACGTTTAGCCTGTAAACAAATCAATTGTTATTAATCATCTATCACAACTTGGCACTACAAATCTTCTTGTTTGAAAATATATGAAAACCGCAAAGAAATTTTTATTAGATTGCTACGTTTATTGTATAAAATAAACGCCAAAAAGTTGATTGTTTTAATTGTTACGACAATATATTAATATAAATCTACAAGATATCTAAATTTAATGTTGACACAACTTCCAAATATCTCGTATGCGATAGGTGAACATAACCTTAAAATTTTCAAAAACTAAATGTTTTAAATATTTTTAAAAAGATTACAATATATTGCACTAAAATTCATCAACATGATATAAAACACAATTCAAACTTTATTTTTAGATATTTTACAATGATTATGTGATAAAAAACAGATTTTAAAATTACCATTTTTGTATAATTTCTATTGACTCGGCTACAAAACGAGTAAAAGAAACCAAAAGAATTTGTCTCAGATTACAAAAACATTCTAGATGTCGTGAGCATTTTAGCCACAAAAAATGTATATCCAATCGTTCGTAAGATGGCGCTAAAACTAATTTTTGATAGCTTGACATTTGAAAATAGTTTCAATTTTCATCGCCAGTCGAATGACAGGAAAAATGGAGTATGTTATTGTCATGTGAAATGAACAACAATATTTATTTTCTTATTTATTATTACATTATTGTCTGTGATTTTATAAATTAATTTAATCATGTCGAAAAAAAATCGCCAAGGGCATCGTGCCCATCGGCAGCGTTCAGGTATATCAATTATTTAATTTTATTAATTAAATATTGTTAATTTGACTTAAATGTATGTATTCAATCATGCAACACTGGTCTTTAAAACTTAAGTGATTCCCTGTATTAACTCTTTAATATGCTATAATTAATTATTCCATTCAACCAATCATACTGACCTACACTTATGATATTTTAAAGAATGGTGATTCCCAATATCGACTTTCAATTGACATTGCTCTTTTGTTTTTTCAATCAAACGTTTCTTCCATTTAACAGTTGATTTTGATTACGAGGACTTCAGTGTTCAAGAAAAACGTAATCAAGAAGATTCTAATAATCATTCGAGCCAAAAAAATTTTCAACGAAAAAGCCAAGGACGTCCTCCAGGATTGAAAGGAAAAGCTATAGGACTTTATTATCGAGACTTGAGTAGAAAAAAAAAGGAAGAACGAGGTGAAAATCAGTCATCATCACGTTCAAGTGGACAAGATCGTCGCTTTTTTTCTTTGCCTGATTCTACCGATCAAACTATTCGCCGGTTACTCATGGAGGCTCTTGAAGCTACAAAATCAAGCAGTGATGGTGATAATTTATCAATGCAAAATCGTCAGTTCAGAAAAAAATTCTTCGAAATAGTTTCTGGAAATATTCAAGATAGTTTAGAATGGGCTATGCGTATGAATTCTGTTTTAGTTAATAATGATACTTTAAATAACCGATTAAAAAAAGAGTTAGAAGCCAAGAAAGAAGAACGAGCATATCAGCAAATGATGACATTCCGTTATAAATTACCAGCATATAAACAGCGAAATGAAATAATAAAATTAATGGAAAAGCATCAAGTAATTTTGATAAGTGGAGAGACTGGTAAGCCAATTTTTTTGACGAAATTCAGCTCCATTTGAAATTTTTCGATTGTACATAAATTTCATTTTTAATTATGCTATATTATTTTTAAATTTTTATTTTTCTATTATGCTTATATTTTTTTTTTAGGATGTGGTAAAACTACTCAAGTATGCCAATACATCTTAGATGATGCAATTGAAAAAGGAATAGGGAGCACTGTAAAAATAGTTTGTACTCAACCTCGAAGGATTTCAGCTACCTCTGTAGCTGAAAGAGTTGCAGCAGAGCGTATAGAAAATCTTGGAGATTCTGTTGGCTATCAAATAAGACTTGAAAAAGCTCTTTGTAGAGATTATGGAAGTATTTTATTCTGCACTACTGGTGTGTTACTTCGATTTATGCAAAGTGATCCGGCATTAAGGGATTACTCTCATATCATTTTAGATGAAATTCATGAAAGAAATAGTGAAACTGATTTTATTATGACTATATTGAAACAAGTCATTCATAAACGATCTGATTTAAAAGTTATTCTTATGAGTGCAACGTTAAACGAAAAAAGATTTTCAGAATATTATGGGGATTGTCCTTTGATTCATATACCAGGTTTTACTTATGAGGTAACTGAGTATTATCTAGAAGATATATTAAAATTAACAAAATTCAGATTTGACACCGCAAAAAAAGTTTTGCCCACTGACCTAACAACATCTCATGCCAAAGTTATTTTACCATCTTTAGACAAATTAATAAGAGAAGGAAATTACCCGACTTATGTAGTTCACGAACTTCGTAATCCAATGGTTGAGTTGATAAACTTGGAATTAATTCGAAATTTAATAGAGTATATTTGTAACAATAAAGGACCAGGTGCTATTTTAGTATTTTTACCTGGTTTGCGAGATATTACTCAGTTATGCGAATTGCTAGAAGAATCTGGTCATTTTCCTTCGAATAAATTTGATGTTTATCCTCTTCATTCCCAACTACCAACAGCCGATCAAAAGATGATATTTAATCCTCCTCCTGTCGGAGTTCGTAAGATAATTATTGCTACTTCAATCGCAGAAACATCCATTACTATCGAAGACGTTGTGTATGTAATTGATTGTGGACAGATGAAATTATCAAGATTTGATATCGGTCTAAGTTTAGAAATGCTGAAGCCTGAATGGGAAACATTAGCAAATGCAAAACAACGTCGTGGACGAGCCGGAAGGTAAAATTAATTATTATTAAGGTATGTTCTGAATAATTAATTTTTTGTAAATATTTTTTGATTGATTTATAGAGTACAACCAGGAGAATGTTATCGTTTATATACAAGGGCACGAGAAGCAACGTTTGATGAATATCAAACTCCAGAAATGATACGAACACCTTTAGAACGAGTTGTATTACAAATCAAATTATTACAATTAGGTCGAGCAGACGTTTTTCTTGCGAATGTCTTGGATCCTCCAGAAGAGAAAGCTATTAAGCTAGCTATAGATTTATTGATCGATACAAATGCTCTTGATGAGGATGAAAATTTAACGCCGTTAGGGTATCATTTGGCACAGTTGCCAGTAGATGTAAAAACTGGTAAGTATTGATTTAAAAAAATTAAATAATAGCATTCTTTATTTTACTCACTGTTACATTTATCATAGGTAAAATGATTCTATGGGCTTCGATATTTTCTTGTGTTGAGCCAGTATTTGCTATCGCAGCATGCCTGTCTTATAAAGACCCTTTCTATTGTCCTAGAAGTCAAAAGGAAGAAGCAAATAAAATGAAAAAAATACTTGGCTTGGATCAATATAGTGATCATATAACTTTTGCTGAAGCTCTCAGACTATTTGAAAAAGCTAGAAGAAAGTCACGGAAAAATGCTCGACTATTTTGTTCAAAATATTTTTTATCGTTTAACACTCTTGAATTATTATTAAAAATGAAAAAAGAATTCGCCATGTATATGTATGATATGCAATTTTTGAAGAGTGCTAATCCACGTGATAAAGAGAGTAACATAAATTCACGTAATTTATCATTGATAAAAGCCATTATCTGTGCTGCATTGTGTCCAAATGTTGCCATCGTCCAGTAAGAGATGAGAATTATTTAAAATTATCACAATTTTCAATTGAAAAATATGCTCATTTTGTTTCTTGTTTATGAAGAAAGCAGGCTCGTTTTCCAATACTTGCAACACCTGAAGATGGAACTGTAAAAATTCATCCCAAAAGTATAAATATGGAAGCTAAAGCATTACCAACTCCTTATGTAACTTTTTTTGAAAAAAAAAAGTCTACGGCTATTTATTTGCATGATACGACGTGTGTTACTGATGCTGCATTAATATTTGCGTTTTCTAATGGCCAATTAAGTATAAAAATTTTAAATGATATATTTTTACTATTAAAAATTTAATTTAAATATTAAACAAAAGACTAATTATAGAAAAACTGGAAAAAAGATCTTTATTAACTCTTCGTCAAGGATTCGAATTTTTATGTAAACAAAGCGTTGGAGAAACAGTAAAGGTAAAGTAATTAATTATTTAACAAAATTATGTACTAACGAAAAATATCTCATAATTATTGATGTTTTATACATGTTTGACAGCGTTTACAAGAAAATTTCAACGAACTTTTAGCAGAAAAATTTTTAAATCCAAATTCAATCAATTGGAATTCATCTGAAGGTTTCGTGTTATTGTAAGAAATTTGTTGAATTATTTATTTTGTTTCCTAATTAAAATTATTTTAATAATACTATATTACATACTATTATTAAAATTTTCAGAGCTATTATTGAATTTTTGTCTGTGGCAGACACTAATGTAGGCATCACATCAAAACGATTAGAACTTGAGTCAATTAGTGAAGATGACGACGATGATGATAAAGATGATGATGATGATGATGATAATACAAGTGGATCACTTGTAATAGTCTAAATTATTTAAATATGTACTTATAAGTTTATATATATTTTCGCTTAATTTTTAACAAGATAATGCAGGTCAAGTAATAAATTGGAGTATTTAATTTTGACTGAATTTACAGTGTAATCAAGTAAGTAGAATAATTTTTTGTAATTTACAGTGAAAATATGTACAAATATTGAAAGTTTAAAAATCTTTTAATTATAAATATATAAGAAATATTTTTCTCTCGATTTATTTTCGAATTTATGAGAAACCAGTATAATTTTAATGATTAAGTTGGGAGTAAATAGCAAATAATCATAGCAGAAAGTTGTTCCGGCTATTCACATACTTGTATCGTGACAAAAATAGTCTTCGACAGTTTACAATTGAATCTTATTGCACGCTAAGTGTCTGTTAAGTCATGACAGCCTGATAATAACAAGTTCTTACTTTACATGATTAAACAGTACAAAAATACTTAGATTGATTATCGACTTTTTTGATTAGAGTAAATATATTCATGGAATATATCAACGAATGAACAATATAAAGAGAAGGTCTTGATAATCAAGAAGAAAAAGCAAAGGAAGGACAGAACAAAAGCAAGATATGCAAGCAGGCAGCCTGTTATATGGGTTATGTGCACTCCCATTCATTGTACGTTCGCGTCCCAATTGTAACTATTTCTTTTGTGCGTCGACGATGCAACACGGAGAAGTAGTTCAAGGGGCACAATTATTTAATTGTACGTTATACTGCATGGGCTTCGTAATGATTTATATTGGTAGAGTATGCGTTTCACCAGCAAAAGGGATCACTGTCATCGTGCTTTATCTTTTTTTATTCTTCTATTTTATTTTATTTCTTCCTAGAATATTTTTATCTTTGCTAATTCTTCCTGATATGAATGAATGATGAAAATACTTTATTTTTATTTTCAAGGATATTTGTTAACTCAATGCATTTTAATCATTTTTGAATTTTAAATTTTTAATTAAATATATCTAAATAACAGTTGTGATTATTCAATTTAAATTTGCTATTATTAGCAGAACACATTTAGCTTGAAACTATAATAAAAAATACTATTAATAAAAAGCAATTAGAAATAATAAATGATAATATAGTGAGAGAGAGAGAGTTCAATAATACTGATATTTATTTGTAATTTTTTTTTTTTGAGTAATGAGATTGTGTTGGATAAAATTATTAAGAAAATATTTTTGCAACATAGCATATAGATCTTGAATAAGTGGAATTAATAATGTCTTTAATCTGCAGCATTTTCCCGCGTATTAATGTTTATTAATCCGGATAAAATTGCACGCGCATAAATCATAGGTCTGAAGTATAAGTAAGTGTACGGACGGATGTTTCCATTGAATATGTCATATTAAAGAATGAGATAGCAATGTGGGACACTGGTCGAGTATAGTGAAGAGATGCAGTAGCAGTAGCGTGAAAGCTGCACAGGGAGAAAAGGAAATAAGAGAAAGAGATAGCAATAGATGGTCATACGTCATTGGTTCGTCTTTCACATCGGGGTGAAGACGAAGAGGAACAAGTTGAGTCAAGGGTCCATGTACGCTGTTCGTTCGCATGCAAAGAACGTTTATCTTTATTCAACTAAGCGGCTATGAGCGACACAACTGAGCGTTGCATCTCATACTCTACACCGTCGACTTGTGAAATAACTTTTTATTTGAACGACTCTCTAATTAGTAGTCTTTATCGTGTATCTGCATGCACGGGTGCGCCACACTAGTCTTCTTCTACGCAGCATCTTTAACTTTACTACACTACACACAAGAGAAAGAGATTCTCAGGCGTTGAGTATAAACGCTTGCATTCATTGCGACTCTTTCAATTTCCGGTGTTTGCGATCTAGATTGTAATATCCGGTTATTCAATCTCGACTCATCGCATTACAGACGCATTCGACATTGCTGTTATTGACTTATGTCGTATCATCTTTACCTAATAACTCTGTCAAACTATTCTATTTCATTGTAATTGGAAATTTATTCAAATATGACCTTTGGTTATTACCTATAATATGCACTGTATTTTGTTCATAATTGTATAGCAATTATCGATTTTTCATTTTACTTCGTTTTAACTACTACCTTTAAAACCACCAGGGTCCTCGAACTCTCTCGAGAAACAGTGCAAACAACCGGTCCATGAGCATTCCGACTGCCAGGTGAAAGTTTCGGAGGACATTAATCAACTCCTTGACCAATAACATTTTTAAATTGTCACCAAATATTACTCATATTATTTATGCCCATTTTAACTTGAAAAATGTGAATTTATATTTATTCTAAAAGTTTTCAGGTTTTATTTTTTATGTAGCTTCTCAAAAGAATATTTGCAATTAGAAAACCTTCATTTTTAGTAGATATTTATTGATTAATTGAATAAAAGAGAATTTTATTTATTAGAAAATTGATTCAATTAAGAGAAATCTTTCTTTATAAAAATAATATATGTCATGATTAAATATACTTGGATTTAAAATCTGTTTAGTCACAGTTTATTGAAGACGTAATTTATAAAAATATTCAACAATCGAAGGTCTTAAAAATTGATTGTGAATTTATTTTTATAATCATTATCAAAATCTTTTTCTAATCATTTCTAATTCAATTTTATCAAATTAATATTTGAATCAAAGTTTATAAAACAGTTATTTTAATAGACACACGTCTTGATCACTTGAGTAAATATTCACTATAAAAAAGTATGACAAAAATTGTTCTGACATAATGAGCTCTTTAATACAAAAAAATTAGACTTTTTTTATTTAGTTATATTTAAATCAACATATATGTCAAGGCGAGTTTTTTAATGTTCTAGGAACCCATAAGTTTTGTAACTCTAAATTTAAAAATAAGTAAGCATTTTTTTTCTACCAATTCCTTGACTGTCCTCTTACTTCCTTTTACTTCCTTTTACTCTTTTTCTTTTCAAAGAGCTCAGCCCTTCTACACTACTTCGCGCTAAGCATTTTGATTTGTTTTTCTCGTAAACAAGCAAGAGTTCGATGACCCAAGAAGTCGAATGCTCTTACTCGCTTGCACGCACATCTGATAAACGCTCCACCAGGAGCCCGTAACTCGAGACGCTTTCACGAAACTCTTCCCCTCCACTGCCCTACAATTTTGGCACTTATAACAGTGCTTTTGGTTTTACAATCTACGTGACCATTGAGATTATATAAAAAACGTTTATTCCAATAATCGTTATCGTAATACACTTCATAAAAGTATTTATTTAATTAGTATGAAAATTGACATAATTTAAATATTAAAGTCAGTTTCCAATACTTAAAAAATAAAACTTAATACTTGATTTCACACAAATTACCATTAAATTACTACCTGTTTAATTAAATTGAATTATAAATATTATTTTATACTTGCAGTATTATCCTCAGGTACATTTTTCATTTCTACTCGTAGTTTTGCTCTTACTCTGTCATGTTCTGGATATTCAATTATTTAATTAACTCCATTAATTATCTTAATTAACACCATTTCATTGGTTACGTCAAATCCTTTTTTTTTCTACTATTATTCAAATAATTCTCAAACTTTTTTCTCCATTTTTTTCATACATTTTTCCTATTATTTTTTTCCAGGTGAGTTGCAGTTGCTATTGACAAAGTTTAATTGGGAATTAAACTTTCTGGTAATGTATTTCACTTCATTTGAACTAATTTTCAATGAGAAATTATAATAATTGAAGTTAGAAATTTAATGAGATTAGAAGTAGGTTAAGATAAAACATTCTTCACTGATTTAATATCATCACTATATTTCGACAATTAATCTTAGATAGGTAATGAGCAAATGCTAAGACTAAAACTATTTTAAGTTTTAAAATTTATCAATTATAAATTACATAGCTTAATTTTTTATTAATAGATGATTTTTTTTTGCCTGAGTAAGAGCTTATAGAGATGGATGAATACTTTCTAGACGATGTTAGTTAACAAAAAATCTTAAAAATAAGCTTCAATTAGGTTAATGGGCCAGTTTGTCCATTATGTTATCTAATAGAGTAATTATCAGGGTCATAAATAAACTATGAAGTTTATTAACCTTCACATGAACAAGTAATCAACTATATCTAGATGCTTCCCTGACTCGTGTACACCCCAATTTTTTTACCGCAACGTCCGGCGCCAGAAAACTTTCACGGAAATTGTGGCTTGATCAAACGTCGATCACCAGTATATAAGATATATTTTTCGATCGCAATCGGGAACAGGGAGGAGATGAGTTACGGCTGAGAAGTCGGCGTAACACCAGACTCTCTCGATTTCGCCGTTAAGTTTCTTTGTGTTTACCACCTTGCCTTACCATTCGGCCCCTTCATGAGGATTTCCTTTGATCAACCGTGATAGCGTGCAGATAATTATCAATATCACAAACAAGTAGCAATACCATCGGCCCAATTTCATTCCAAAGTCGAACTTTGTTGTGAGAATACAAAAAGAGGAAAGCTGATTTCCTTTGCATTTTTCCACAACTCCAAAAATAATGCTGCAATAAATATGAAATTTTAGGTTAAGGGTAAATAATAAGTTGCAAAAGCTTGTCAATGAATGTTTCATACAAACTGGTATAAATACTGGTATGTTAAAATTCATTAAAAAAACATTAAATTACAAGAATTAAGAAATTGCTTCAATTAAGTGAGCAAATAATTATTATTATATTGAAAGTATCAAGAAACCTTTCTTAATTTATTAAAGAAATGTTTTTCAATAATATTTATACACTTGATCCAATAGAAATTTAATAATAATAATAGTTATTACAAAAAATAGTTGAATAATTCTTTTTGTTAATACTTACAATGAAGATAACAAGTAATAGTGAAGACCAAATAATATTGGTCAGAATGAGCATATAAATATCTCCAAACATCTTTCGATAGTTTTAATTTTCTACTCGACAGATAAATGATGAGCAAGATGATTTAAGAACTGATTTAGAATCAGACTTGTTCATTGATGATAATAATAATAACCCCATCACAAAACTGAAGATCTAACTTTAACTTTAATCCAGAATAGCACGATGGAAAAATGTGGGATATTCCTGTAAAATTAATATTTTGATAAAAGTATTTTTACTTTATAAAAAAAAATTATAAACTCTAATTATAATATTAAACGTAGGTTAGAATAGGTTCTTGGGTATAATATTCAATCAATAGGGTTAAAAAAGCTCTACATAATATATCAGAAGACAGACATGATTTATCAATAACTACAGCAAAGTTTTATAAAAATTTCAATTGTTAATAAAAATAAATTTAATATGAAGAACAATAGTTTATTTAGTACGAAAAGTTTTGTGTTTTTCATTGCAAATTATGTATTACATAGTACCAAAAAAATTTTTGGTATACTTACACTAGTAACGGATCAAGTGTCAACAATACTTACTAACCTCTAAAGATTTCTCTTTCTCAGGAAGATTCTATTAGATAGGGAAAGGTAAAAGAGATTTATAAAAAAATAATGGAAGCTTTGATCGAAATAAGTCCCTTGAATTCTGTATATGCAGCTTGGACATGAAAGCCTCCTCACTACTCTGTACGGCTGATAGCCAATACAAGGGGGAGGATAGCGGCGCAGTTGTTTCGCCTTTAGACGCCGCGCGCAGCGCACCGGAGCTCAGTCTGCATCCGACCATCGAGAGTATCGCGTCGTGTTATTGCGTCGTCGTCAACACTCGACCCTTCGACGTACGTTAATTAAATAAATAATTATTTATAAAAAAAAAACAAAACTCGATACTACGTAGGCTTTGTTCTAGTGTGTTCAATAGACTAAGAAAAATAAAATTCAATTAGAATTAATTTAAAAAATCAGTGCTGTTTTGTAAACAAAAAATACGCTAACCTTATTGGAACTCTGCGAAAGTGATAAGAATTGAGTTTGACTTGAATTGAGATAAACTAAAGGGAGATTAGCAAAAGTAAGGGATAATTATTGATCTGACGAAGACGACGAAGAGGAACCATGAAAGTCACCAGGAATCTTACGATCGAAGTGGCAAGATAGCGCCATGATTTCGGCGCGCTCGTGTCAACTCTGAGGGCAATAGGGTCAGTGAACGATATAGTGAATATGTGATTAGTAATCATATAACCACACCACTCTTTCCTATCCATAACTTCCTGATTTTAACGTCCATAAACTATGTGTCATTTTTATTAACGTCTCGTATTTATTAGTTAAAAAATTAAACGCAATAGAGATATATGAAACAAACAGGGAATTATCGAAATAACCGACAACTAATAATCCAATCGTATTGGAGTGATTGATGTATTGGCATTTGTAACGTTTTATTTATTTCTATCAGTAATTAAATAAAGAAGAGCGAAAAAGTGTGCGGTGTTGGATGCTGCTAAATCTTAACTTTGGTTTAGTGGCTCTGTCGGGGTCGAAGAAGAGAAGGACAGGAAAAGGTGACGATGGAACGGCAGTCGGGACTTGGTCGCGGGGGCATTGGCGGACCGCTTGAAAAACTTTGTTAAAAGCATGCGGGTTCATTGACTGCAACTCTGCGTGCCCGCGATGGCCGCGTGCTCATCGTCGTCTCTCTTCTCATTCTCTTCTTCTTCTTCTTCTTCTTCTCGTCGTCTCTGCGTCGTGAATGTGCGCTCTGGTGCATCGGTGACGGACAGACCCTTCTGAATTTCTCACTGCCATTGCCAATTAATTTTCTCCGCGCGAAAATAGATCTTTCTTTTACTATTTATCATATTTACTTCTTGCCTTATTGCTAACAGACAAAACATTATTCTCAAAAACAACGCTCCAGAACATTCCTAGAAATCTTTGTTTTTTTCCTCCACCAAATGTTGTCTTCAATTACTTGGAATTATTCTAACTCCAATCAGTCAATTGTATTCCTATTGAGTAAGAAAAAGTATTTTTGTATTTTTTTAATTTTATTAGTTACAATTAATTTTTGTTTATAGTTCAGTAAATAATTACTTAAGTTAAAAAAATTCTTTTGATAAATATTATGCTGCTGAGGGAGTGGTATTTAAACTTGTTGCTCCACTGATAGGTAAATCATCAGACAAATATTTTCCAATAGAAATTGTCTTCAATTTCAAACTTTTAATCAGTATAAATGAAATATTGAGATAAAAAGTCGAAACTTTGTATTCTTTGAAAATAACTAATGTTTGTTTATTTGTTGAGTCTTAATTAAATTGCAATTGATGACAAAAAAAGGAATTTAAAGCAATCGAAAGTAATTTTTTTTTAATAGAAAGTTTGAACTACAGATGAGGTTAAAAGAGATACTTGATAAAAATTGATCGCACATTCAGCGTTCGAACGATTACTCGACGCACGGAGGAAATGACTCACTTTTTTGCCCTCGCAATTCAAGCGAACGATGCACTCGGTACCTACTTACGCCACGCTCCGTGCGCTCCAGCAACTCGTCTCGAGTAAATTGCAACTGCACATCGTCGTATATACGCGCCCACCGTCGTTGAAAACAGACCGCACCAGTGGCACATCGTTAGACCTTTATATCTCTTTATTTTCCCTGTCGTTCTGTCTCTTTTTTTTGTTCCTGTTTGACACAGATTGTTGAACCGCCCGCTAAAAATTACTCCAACTCTCTTGTGTATTACATCTTATATATTCTTCCCCCGAAATTCATTCCTCTTGAAAACTTTACTTTTTCTTCCGTTCTGCTTTAAATGCTGTTATTTAACTCGATAAAAAATTATCAAATTTAACGCTTCCTATTTTTAAATATCTTTATATTAGTTTCAGATAATGTACAGTCGTTAGATAAGCATTTTCTCTCTTGAATGAAACTTAAATTAATTTTTATTGGAATTGAAATTTGTCGTAAGAGTTATATTGATACTCTGCCAAGGTTTTTCAACTGACCTGAATGCTATGAATTCAAAACATTGGCATTCATATTATTCATAAATTAATTTTATTTAATTGATTATTACAATAAACATTTTATGACTATCAAACTCTATTAACTTGTTCACTTTTTACGTCTTTATATGGGATGAAAATAATCATGATGTGTTTCTCAAAAATACTTAAATAATAATTATGTCAATCTAGAAATCCACCATAACATATTCATTAGCATGAAGAATTTTGTTTTTCTTCAAACTAATTTAATTATGCATAGATGTACAAAAGTATTTATATATGGGATAGATGATAAGTATGATAAATGTTTTATTTTTCAGCAAGAAATAATTTCAAAATGATTACATCATACTGACTGGGTTTAATTTAAATTTCAGAGTATCAAGAATAAGAGGCCAGAAAGAAAATTGAAAAAAAATTCATCAAAGGCGGAACTATTTCACAAGATATAAATCTTTTAAAACCTTCAGACCAAAAAGACTCATTGACGATTCGTGGATAAAAAATCACGAAAACATATCTAAAAAAACATACGAGAGAGAAAAAGTGTGGTGAGAAGGTCGAGAAGATTCCAGAGGATTGACCTGCTGAGATTTTTCTCCAACGAAAAACATGAAGTGATTGCCCTTTAGATTCGTCACCACATTCTTCATGGCCACTTTTAGCTATTCACATTCAAGTTCTCATGACTTCATATCACTCTAGAAGTCACGATATTAAGTCAAGAGTATTTTCTGTGCAACTTTTTATAACGAATTGTTGATCAGTGGGGAGGGGGGTTAAATAAGTGGTGTCAAAAGTATAGTTACCATAATAAATTATACGAAAATAGTGAAGAAGAGTAAGGTGGAGGTAGCAGCTAGGCGGTGGACATGATTATTTCAAAGGATTTGTTCCTCCTCGGCGACCAAGATTATCTTCGCCTGCCCAGCAACGAAAAGCGCCAACAGCGGGCAATGGGACGCCCGATCATCAATCCCCCCAGGTTAGTGTCATATTATTTTTTTCTTATTCTTATCACCTCTTAATACATTTCGCAATGAAACAATATATAGTCCAAGCTACATGATAAGACAGCTCTTGTCTTGATGATAACGACTTTAATTACGAGAATTCTTCTCTTCCGTTTAGGAAACATTCGTGATAATTTATCGATATCCATCGAATTATTTTTATTTAAATAGCAATTAATTCATTTCATTTTTCCTATTTATTATGAAACTCTTTGGATTAGTTTCATTTTTTTTTCAAATTTTATACGGCTTTTATGTCTTACAGCTGTGAGATTTTCATCAAAATTCGAGTTTGCTGCTCGTAAAATCCCTGATTCGACTTCGTAAAATTCTTGATTTGCGTCTGAATGTTTGCCAGATTCTCATTCGGACGTTTACATAGTCCACCGTCAAGTGGGTTTATTGTTTAAAAATTCTGGAGATTATTTATAAATTACTTTAATCGATTATTTCATCGCTGTAATTTTGAAGACTGTTTTAGTCATAGTCGTTTTCAATATTTTTTGCATTACTTTTCGATAAATTCAAGTGAAGATGATATATATTTTTTTATTGAAGCCATCATGATAATATTCTTTTCAATATCTGAGTATATTAGAATTTTTTTACGTCACTTTGTCATCTGTAATATTTTTTGCCAAAGAAAGAATTTTCCGAAAAAATTCAACAAACGAACACTGGATAAAAGAAAAGAGAGGTTACTGTTATTAAAGTACGCTTTTTCATGAAAAATTTTCATCAGTAAGCGGGGCAAAAAAAAAAATTTTCAAGCAGGAAACAAAACTTGGATAGGAAATGAGCTTTAGAAAGCTCGTTTTAATTTGATAAAATAGATACAGATACGAATAAAAAACGTACAGATTTGAAGGAAATTAATAATAAAGATATCGTAACGACGAATAAATGAAAAAAGAATTAATTTATTTTTTATATAAAAATGATTCTTAGAATAAATGAATATTTATCAGAAATTAGAAAATTATCAGACGATAAAACTTTATTAATGACTTCTTAATCTAAAATAAATATACATTTATTCTAATTATGTTGTTTTGTCAGGCTAACTCTGTGTTTTTCTTGCTACAAAACTAGATAATTATGTTTCATTGCTCATGATTTATTGCTACAAGAAAGTGAGAAATTCTTTTATTAGACAATGGTATTATTATTTAATCATCTGACTAATGTTTTTTTATAAAAACACATTTTTATCTCTGATTTAACGCTTTTTTCTCTCTCGCAAAGTATTACTTTTTGCAATATTTATGTAATTAATTACTAAATTATTCAATGAAAAGTCGACAAATTATTCTATAAGTAATTAAATTATCATCTATTAGGAATTCTTTTTTTTGCTCATTATTCTTAATTATTTAAACCAGAAAAATGGTTAATAATTAGAGGCAGGTTTCACATCTTGAATGTATGAGTTTTCTTGTAGAGTTTTGAATGAAAATACTTGCACTTGTGCATTCTTTCTCTCTGCAGAATTGTATTTTGACCTAATTTGTATTGTGAACAGTTAAAATACATTTACAGTAGCTCACACAATTGTTCTAATTTTAAATAAGTTTCAGCATTTTCATTTGATTCCTGGAATAATTTAATCAACCAAGAGTTTAAATATATTTACAAATATTTGATAAACATTTAAAATTGTTGCCACAAATTCTAACATATGGTAATCCATGTAGAGTATTGGTAACATGATTAATTAAAGAGAAAGAGAAATAATTCTTTGCGAATTAGTATTGAATGATTTCTTCGTAACTTAATACCAGAAAAGATTATCAAATAATTAGATTAATTTACAAGTTTATTATATAATAAGTTTTTAAAGCTCACTTCAAATATATATATAATAATTTCATAAGCTTATATAAATGATAAGTATATTCGAGAGTTGATGAGAAGCAGGTCATTAAGATTGAGTTCAAGTTTTTAAATAGTAAATAGAAATGATTTTTTTTATAAATAAATACTTTACACTCGACAAGTATTTTTAGAAAAAAAAAAGAAATAGTTTTATTTATTGTGTGACAAGTTAAATAAAGAGATCCGTGTAGCATTTACCGTCTACTTTTCTATAAGTGAAAATGACTAAAAAAATCTCGAAAAAGAGAAAAAAATGGTTTTGTTAATGACTAGATTTTCACGCAATATTTGAGATTGAAATATTAGACTTGGGTCACGAGAAAAACATACAGATTGCGCATTGCGTTAGCGACTCTGCGTGTCAGTACTCAAGTAGGCCACAAAACTCAAAGTGAGAAGAAACTTAAGAAATGAGAGAGAAAGAAATATATAGAGAGAAGGAATGGAAGAGATTCTGACGTGTAAGTTGAAAGAAAAATTGCAAGTTTCTCCAAGTAGGAAAAATGGAATTTTCTTGAATGAAACTGTTCTAGTTCTATGATCATTTACTCGTTTCGCGTTTCTACTCCTTCTCATTATCGATGAAAGAAGCAGGATACACATGGCCAGTAGCTTAGCAGCAAGTGTCTGCAAACGAGAGGACGCAAAGAGATCGGTCTCTCTCGTGAAAATACACCAGAACCGGTTCGACTCGTGGCAATTCTTGATCTCGCGAGTTTTGCCCTGCACCTCGACATCCACCCAAGTCTTTCTCATGCGTACACGCACTTTAATCGTGCATTTCAAGTGCACGTCAGTGTATGCGTGCTCACCGGGCCTATATAGCCCGTTATTCGCGCTCGACAAATATCCAAAGAGTGTACCCAATGTACCAGCAATCTGCAGAAATTATTTTCAAACGTATTCAAAGTTTAAATTCACTTTCAACTCACTTTAAACTATCCGCTAATTTTTTTCTACCAGTTTTTCCTCTTCAATATTTTTTTTGAATTTTTTTTTTTATGGAAATTCAATTATTTCCTTCAAACAATGATAGGAATTAATTTTTCAATACAACTTTTTTCTGGTATTCAATATAAATTTTTGCGGTTGGAATATATTGAATGCTTTGTATATTCCGTATATTTTTTATCAAGACAAACAAAAAATTAATCCATTTATTGTGAAAAATGTATTCATGTTGGCTTTCAAATATTTACCTAGTTGTCTAATTGTTAAAATAATCTCTAAAAAACAAAACAAATACTATCTTAAATGTTTTTTCAATCATTTAAATAGATTTATTTAAATAAATATAGAAAATTTTGTTTAACCCCATTTCTAAATGTTAATTGATTTATTTACCAATAATAAAATTTTCACTCGAGTGTGTAATAATGTTACAAAATTATAAATACTTATTTTTATTTTCATCATATTGATAAGGGTGAAAAAAGTCAAAGCTTTGTTAATATAAACCTTGACTATGTAATATCTCAATTCCAGCAAATTAATTTTTTTCTTTATTTTATAATTATTATAAAAATAAGGAGATAATAATTCGTTTTGAAACCTTCTGATAGAATAAAAGAAAGAAGCACCTCAATATTGCATTATATATGTGCATAGTCGGAAGAAATGAAAAATATATAGAAGGGAAACGGAGAGTGGAAACCATTAAGTAGATTGAATATTACCCTATTTAACTTTGATGCAATCAATAGATGAGAAAAAAAGCACCCGTGAGCATGCACCATTTACTCGAGAACGATTAGATGGAGGAGTTAAGGCCTTGGAACATATATATTCTTTTATTATTTTTCTTTCTTTTCTCTCTTATCCCCCTCTCCTTGTATCTCTCGATTATCTAATCCAACCACACTCGCTTGTACACGCGCTCTTCCCGTAACCGCGACTGCTGCACCTGCACGCGAGCTCGCGCTTTAATCCCTTAACGGGCAAAACAAGACGCGTGTCCTCCTCCTGCTGTTGCTGCTGGCTCTCACTCGACTCTCTCATCGTGTGATAATCGACTTTATCTGATTAAAAAATAAAAAAAGTCCACTTTATTTCAAGCTACTTGATGACGATCATTTCTTTTATCTTTTCTATTTTTAACTGTTAATAGTTGGATACTTTGATAGATCTCTTTCTTTAATCGAGAGTAGACTTATTCGTCGAAACACACAGATTGGCAAAGGCCAGTTCGAGTCCAGCTCCCAAGGTCTGACGATGTAGAAAATTGTCCAAGTAGCCGGCTATGGTTCGCCGACAAGACGTGTGTGACGCTGAGACGTTACTAGTGATTGGCTAGACGCCAGGATTGTCGTGCTGCTGGTTTTGAGCTCACGATACATACTGTTGAGGGATAGAATCAAGCACATACGACATGTTACTGCTGTAAATTCACGCCTCGCGCTGCCTTAGAAGATTCATGATTTGTCATGCTTACTCGCCGTTCTTTCATCTATCAAATGCATATATTTTAAATATATCCTGTTTACCGGAGTGTTAATATGCAAATTGCTAGTACTTTATTCATTTAAATCTTCATTTAGCACTATTATCGTGATAATTAGGATGAATGTGACGAAGATCGAGCGGTTTTAGAATTAATCAATTTATGCAAACAACTTATTCACTCCATTATAAATGATTGATCTCTATAAGCAGCTTCAAATCTATATTTTTAATTAATTATTATGATCCTTATTTCAATAATTATTGAGGATATTTTATTTAATTTATTTTTTATTGGTTGTTTAGGAAGTTTTTTTAAAATCGATAATTATTTAATTATTCTTTTTACAAGTAATTGATGATATCGTTAATTGATCTGATGAAGGAGATTAATTTTTTTGTCAATGACATATTGAATCAAGGAAAAATACATTAAATTAATATATAAACAATGGTCTATATCTTTTGTTGATTATCACATTGGCCATACGTAAGACGGAAGAAACTTGAGTTGGTCGGCAGAGAGCCAAGCGGAAATTCAATTTCCCGAGTAGACATCCCGCGTGCACGTCTGCGAAGAATTTCATCGCAAATTCTAGGGGTAGAAGAGATGATCACTGGAGAGAAGAGATTGAGAGAGAGAAAATGAGATAAATTT